AATTATTCCTGACTAAGTGCTAATTAGTAAACCTAATTCCATACTTTTCTTTTGTGTCTGTTTTTTTCTCCAATAAATACTTTATTAACACAAAGACATGACTATTTACAATTTACCATGTTATACAAAAAGCTGCATACGAAACATTTTCTGTTTTTTCCTTATATTTCTTATTCCTTATACATGTTTTTTCCCTTTGTTTTGTTTTGTTTTGTCTTTTTAACCGACCTCCTCCTCTTACGTTTTTTTTATAATTAATATTTTAAATATTTTTTTACTATTGCTGTTTTTTTTTTGTTTTTTTTTTCCCCATAATGTTTGGTATGGGCATCCTTCATTGATTATTGTGTTTATGTAAAGAAAGCAAAATGCTGGGTTTTTATCTAGTTAAAAAAGGCTTTGGGGAACCATCCTCCTAATGCCAGATCTACAGAATTTATAAGTATTCTGTATCAGATATACAGAATGCTAATTACCTTCCAGCTGATCTGAGATATGTTTTTAGCTAATCAGAATCGAGAAAATTTGCAAAACTTAGGTGTCACTTTTTCTCTTGAAACTGGATTTCCATGCCACCATATAAAAAAATAGTATTGCTAATAAGCGATTGATAACAATGACACAATGCTTAATGAGTTTCACATTTTTATTCCAAAGGTGGGCAATTTATTATTATTATTATCTGTATCTGCCCGCCGCACGGTCCAGTATCCTTTGCCGCTAAAGACAACACAAAACGATTACAAAGACAAGTAAAAAAAATACGGGAAAAAAATAAATAAGTTATTTACCGTCCTTTAGTCGGTCCGGATAGGGAAAAACTGTGCCCTCTGTCTTAAAAACGGACCTCGGCCTAACGGCTTCCGCCCGTATTTTCAAGACCTCGGGCACAGTTTTTCCCTATCTGGACCTCCTGGCCGGTAAATAACACATATGCTTATTMTTAGACAAGCTATCAAAGTCATGGCTCATGCACACTCCTAAATGTCAGTCTATGACTGCAGAGGTAACATCTTGAGATTGTATTTTTTGGTCTTTTCAAATAAATACTTTATTATTTATTTCTTTATCTATTTACTGCAAAATTTAGCAACTTTAATTTTTTTATTTCTCCTGAACTCATGAAGCAACTGCTCTCAACTTGATAAATATTTTCAACATTTATGACTTCTTTATATTTCTTAAGTCTTATTTTTTAAGTCCAATCGTTTATGGCTCAAAAGTTGCTTTTTGGAAATGTACAGTATATGCCCACCTATTCTTTTCTTTATACTCTTTCTACTTAAGGTGGCTGCCTACTTTTGAACGTTCGATTTGAGCCCACGATGCGCGCGCGCTCAAAAACCGCTGATAAATCTACAAGATTTTATTAAAGAACCATACGCCTTTTGAGCTTCAACTACAAAATATGGCAAATCAATGTATCACTTTGTCTTTTTCTCGAAAATATCTATTTTTTAATTTTTGTAGAATGATTGACTAGCCGTCATTCGTGCAATCATATAGTCTGCAAACACCTATTATCTTATTAATTTTAATTTTTTTAATCACTTCCGGTGGCGCTCGTTTTGCTCCAAAAGCTCGCGCGTAGGCTTCCATTAAAAGCTGATTATCTCGCAAACGAGCTCGGTACACCCAAGTTTTCTGTCCAGATTTGGAATCAGCATTAAATTTCAATTCGGA